GGGAAAACCCATGAGCCGGCGCACAATTGTTTTGACGCTGACACAGGTTATCGAAGTAACATAGCTAGCTTAACGTCAGATGACTGACCAGCAAAATAGTCTAATGTTAACCCCACTATTTCCATACTAAGCTGGAGTTAATTATTTTCTTATTACCGTAGCTAGCTATCTAAACAAAGTCAGTCCCCTGTCCTCCACTCCTGTACGGCTACTCCACCACCTGGGCCTCTGTCCTCCACACCTGGGCTCGCCAGTCCATCAGTCAGTCCCCTGTCCTACGTTCCTGTACAGGCTGGGCATTCTGATGGAGGCAGTGTTCAGTCTCTCACCCCGCCGGTGGACTCTATAAACCCTGATGTAAGTCATTAGCATTTATTTGGAATTTCTGATGGAAATAGATTTATATGCTTCTTATGTTGATTTATGTCAGTGATACTAGGGCTAATTTGTTACTTTATGTTTCTTTCAGGAATCTGTTGGCCCAGACAACATCGGAGGTTATGGTGGGATCCAGGACTTGGTTGATTACCTGGTCACGCTCCGTTCTCATGGCCTCTGAACACCCACAAAGCATTGTTACCTATCGCTCCACAAAAGCCACAGCCCTTGCACATGCATACGCATGTTTACTCACTCCCATAACTGTTGCTATAATTTTGGACTATTTACTTGTACTGCTCACTTTATCTACTTGTTGACATACTGTAGCACATTTCATAGTACATATCGTTACTGTTTGTTTGACTCCTACTTTTATACCTTTTAATATTTGTTTACCACTTGCCTTGTGTTTTTGTTGTTACTTTTATTGTTGCTATTATCATATTTCACTGTTGAGAGGTAGCCCAATAATGGACTAAAGGAGCCTAACGTTACTCCTTAGTCCAAGGACCTTAAATGTTCTTTTTAAAGTGTGAATTGGCTCTGGCAGCCAAAACAGCCAAATACTTTAAACTCTAAACGTGAATCGATTCTCAATTCCGGTACGGTTCTAGAAACATAAATCACATCGAAATAATTTCAAATGCAAAATACACTTACTGTTTTAACACAGTTGCAGCCAACCTTATTTTTTCGTGACAACATGTTTGTGGCGCTCGTCTTCCGTTTACACATAGGTGTTAGGAGAGGCAGATAGCTTTTTAGCACAGGTAGTCGACTCGGTCTTCCGTCTGTTTTCTGAAAACTCGCGCTATAACATGGAGATATGGCCATGTGGTAACACTAACCCTATAAAGGTGTGTATCATTTTAACATGTTGTTTAGAGCGTTGGGGCTTGTAGTATCGAGTCAATGCTGGCAAATATTGCTGATAAACAAAGGAGTCCGCTCATACTGAACCTTGATCATAAGTTTATTCATATCACAAGCTTTCAGCATGAGTTTACGGATGTCATGACACCCGGAGAACGGCGTCCCAGATTGCAATGGACGCTCTAACCTCTTCGTCGTTTTTACCCAGTATATATAATCTTCCCAAGATATGGGTGGCTCCCTCTACTGTCCAATCCCCTGTCTACAACACACAGACTTCTCTGTCCTATCCGGGGTGTCACACTAAAACCGGCTCTCTTTCTGCTAAATAAACATCCTTTCAGGTTCCACTTAAAAACATTAACAAAGTCATAATCTTCATATACGACAGGCTCTAAACAAAACTCCCCTGTACAGAAGACGCCTTTGTCCAATGACTCTTATGTGTAATGTAATGGAACTGAGAGTCATGTTCAACGGCTATCTCAGGAGAAGCAAAGAGTTTGAATACAATATACAGTGAGCTCCAAAAGTATTGGGATTGTGAAATGTTTTGTTCTTTTGGCTCACTACTCCAACACTTTGGATTTGAAATGATACAATGACTATGCGGGTAAAGTGCAGACTGTCAACAAAATGTTCATCCATATCGGGTGAACCGTTTAGAAATTAAAGCACTTTTTGTACATTGTCCCCCCATTTTAGGGGACCAAAAGTATTGGGACAAATTCATTTATGTGTATTAAAGTAGTCAAAAAATTTTTATTTGGTCCCATATTCCTAGCACACAATGACTACATCAAGCTTGAGACTCTACAAACTTGTTGGATGCATTTGCTGTTTGTTTTGTTTGTGTTTCAGATTATTTTGTGCCCAATAGAAATGAATGGTAAATAATGTATTGTGTCATTTTGAGGTCACTTATTGTAAATAAGAATAGAATAAGTTTCTAAACACTTCTACATTAATGGATTATGGATAGTCCAGATTAATTGTGAATAGCGATGAGTGAGAAAGTTACAGACGCATAAATATCATACCCCCCAAGACATCCTAACCTCTCACCATTACAATAACGGGAGATTTGCATTTGTTTCGGGGGGATGACATAAGGGCTATGTTGAGAGGTAGCTTGCAAGTAAGTATTTCATTGCACTGTTTACACCCCGCTGTATTCTGTATATATGATTAATACAATTGGATTTGATTTAATTTGATTAGATTCTTGACAGTAAGGATGCTTGCCATTTCAGGAGCCATAGTTCTAAAAGAGAGTACACCAGGGCCATACAGTGGCTTGCCAAAGTATTCACCCCCTTGGCATTTTTCATATTTTGTTGCCTTACAACCTGGAATTAAAATAGATTTTTGGGGGGTTTGTATCATTTGATTTACACAACATGCCTACCACTTTGAACCCTCCCACGACAAAACATTTTTTTACTGCTCTAATTACGTTGGTAATTATGTTGGTTACTGCTCTAATTACGGGGGTTTGTGGTATATTGGCCATATACCACAAACCCCCGAGGTGCCTTATTGCTATTATAAACTGGTTACCAACGTAACTCTCGTAGTAAAGAAATGTTTTGTCATACCTGTGTTATAAGGTTTGATATACCACGGCTGTTGAGTCGTGCCTAAGAACAGCCCTTAGCTGTGTTATATTGGCCATATACCACACCTCCTCGGGCCTTATTGTTTAATTATAGAAAGTGCAAAAAAAAGGGCTTGAATTATTTATTTTGTATTTTTTTCAGAAAAACTAATAACTCATACAGGATGTTTCAAAAGCAGTACAGATTATACACATTGTGTGTGTACATCCGTGGGCATGTATGCATTAAGTCATGTAAAATACTGGTTTAGTAAATAGTAACAGCAATGCCAAGCAAAATTAAAGAAATACTTTGGTGAATGCATTTAGTCCAGAGGTAGCATGCATAACACTAGAGGCCCTATTCATTAAAAACCCCTGACTAGGTTTCTGGCAGAAGATACAAAATATTTTTGTCTTGAGCTTCAAGACTGCATGTTGGAATTACTTGTGTCCTCCATACATCAATGTTTACAATGTGATATTAAAAGAAACTCCACTGCATATTAATTCAAGTGTAGCTTTGTCTTAGCCTGGAAACCCAGTGAACGGTTTTGAAATGGGCCCTAGGTTGAAATAAACAATCATAACAAATGATATTGCAAATACCCCAAGTATTAACAATGCTCTACAATATTAAACAACATAACACTTTTTACATATACTTGCAGGACCTTAAAACAAGATACACAATCTGGTAAAAACACTGACGAAACACACATACTGTAAATGTGTTGTAAAGAACATGTGCTTTTTTGTTACTCAAAATATTACTTAAAATGTTTGTCTACAACTCTTTTGAAATGTTACTTAAAAATGAGTATGTCATTGATTGGCCAGAGGTATAAAAACATATCAGCATATACCTGTAGACTTATATAACCCTGATCTAGTACAGGTCTAGTTATAATCCCTGAAGACCTATACAAATACCTTAAAGATGCCTCTCCATACAGTAACATCCACTGTAACAGTAAAACAATGAAATATATGACAGAATACATCCATTGAAGAGAATGAGCTACATCAACATGTAACTGAATAACAAGCGTTAGCAATAGCCATACTATAAAATTATGAAATGAATTGACGTTCCTTCGTGGTCCGGTCAGGAAGTTTGGCCACCAATGGTCATCTAGCAACCTGCACATAATTAGACATGGAAAATATGTGCATTATTAGATTGAACATGAGTTAACAGTGCATAATGTAGTTGCACTGATTACTTATTACTGACATGTAAAAACAACTCTCAACCAACACATTTCAGACAAAGCAGTCATCTAAATTACTACAAAATCCTATTTCATCTAAATTAATTATGGGTTACCTGTACCATTTGGCTTTTTATTTTATTTTAATTATCAATAAAATATTACATTTGTAAAATAACTGTCCTTTAAGGATTATATAGTAATTCTATTTAGCCCTACGTCTAGCCCCCCAAAAATGAGATAATGATTGACATATCATAAAACCATTTTGTTAACAAAAATATGCTGATTGTGTGGTAAGCAAACAATATGCTATTTTCTTCTAATTGCTTTTTTAGTGTATATGTGATTGATAATAGTGCCTTGTTCTGTTCTCTGACATAAGGTAACTCAGGTTTCACTGCATGTTTATTATCATACTAACATTGCTTGTCTTATAGAGCAATCAAGGAAACCTTTGGACTATGGTGAATGATCACACAGAAAATCTCTCATATTGGGGTCAGCCATTTTCTCCATCTTTTGAGAACGGCAAAACCAAAATCAGAAAAGGCCACTCCATTGCCAGTAACTGGAAAAAACACAATCTAAAGTTTCAGTAAATTGAAAAAACATAATTATCTGTGACTTTCAAAAGTAACTTTTAACACAATGTATTTAATGCAACCATTCTCTTCAGAAGAGGATAATGTAATAGGAATGAGTGTCTAAAATAGGCTGTCTTTTTTTCAGAACCAAAACGTATATCTAAATACAGTAAATGCTTGATTGTTACATAGGGTGTCTTTACATTTGGATGAGCAGTTAGTTGTTTTGATATAAAAACATAATGTTGTCCTTACAACTAGTGTCAAAAGTATGTTATACATAACATTCAACCATTATGTTGATAAATCACATGTATACAGACCGAGGGAGAGGCTGTGATACTAACCTGTAGTTCTCAAGCCAGGAATCACTATGATGGGAAAATTAAATTAAAAATAAAAAAAAGTAAAAAACGTTTCATTGATATAAATCAAGACCTACCAATTTTCCCTCTTCTGTGCAGAACAATCAGGACCACCAAGATCAGAACTCCAATAATGACAATGACTGCCGCAATGACTCCACCAACAACACTTCCACAGTCACAACATTTTCCATCTGCAAAACAAAAGGCATAGTTTTTATAAAAAGCAACAATATGTAACCAGAAGCTAATTTCAGTTTCGTTCCTGCTTCACTTGCAAAGCTGTTGTTAGTATGCTGTTTAGTGCAATTTATGATTGTTTCCCGTGTCAATAACATTAAACCAAATGAACCATACTTTACCCCATTTTTCCACAATTGGCTCCTTCAAAGCGTCATGGTTGACATAGCATTCATAAGTTTCCTTATCTGCCTCTGGGATCTGCACACTCATCCTGATCTGGTAGGTGTCATCATCATTGGGTAGGACTCCTGTAGACAGCACTCCATCATGTTTGGTCAATGGAACACCATTCTTCTTAATATGCATAACCACATCTTTGGGATAGAAACCTGTGGCCATGCAGGTCAGTCGGACATGTCCTGCAATTTGGGCCTTTTTAGCAAATGCATATACCTTTGGAGGGGCTAAAGATGGAATAAATGGAGAACATTAATATTATTTCTGATCTCACATTTACAAATGGTCGTTTTTTGTTAACCATTTGTTAGGCTATACTATTTAAGGTTCATAAGTACTCACAATCAGCACTACTGAATTCTTTCTCCTCATATTCCATGAATTTAGACAGCCAGTCCACACACTCCTTCTCCAGGTAGCCCTTGGTGTACTGGTTGAGGATCTGCACCCCGTCCCACTTCCTCTTAGTCGGCAGAGCTTGAACAACTGGGGCCACCCACTGCATAGTGGCATCATCGAAGGCCAGGAAGTCGTCACCATCGTAGCTGTATTGGTCAATGCCCTTCATGAATTTCAATGTGCCGTCTGGCTGTTGGTCAATCTCACAGCCATGCTTCCACTGAAGGATATGGACATCTGAAACAAAAAATAAACAATGAAAAATGAGGTAAATGATGCCTCTATGGCAATATACATAGATAACTAATGACCCACAATTTTAAAAGATTAACGGTGAGCGTAGGACACATTTCAGGTGTGGTCCCTCACCAGTGCTGTTATGCATCATGCGCTTCATCAAGATTTCGACGTTGACTTTGAACCACTGCTCCTTGCTCTTGCGTGACTGAGTGCCTTTTTCCCAGTAGTCTGCAGGCAGCTTCTCCCTCATCCAGTCCTGTTTGGGAATCTTCTTCTTTGCCACACTGTCATAGTAGTCAATCGATCTGTTATTCATCAGGCCCATGGCAGTGAACTCATGGATACCAGGCAATTCTACTGTCTTTGACAGGGCAGTGTAGATGTAATTCAGGGAGTAGATGGCTGTAGGGGAAAACTTTTTACATTAAGATAATTTATCGGAATTTGCCTTCTCTCCATGTTACTCAGACAACGCTGTAAAACATGAACAGGAAATTACTGTATGTCAAATATTTATCTCTATAATACTGTAGGTCTGTAACGGCCAACAAAATAATGTAGTCAATTAATAGTGTCAAAGAGACCTTGCATGATGTTGTCTAAATGGTAGGTAACATATCAATAACAAATAAGCCCACACTAGTGCATTAGTGAGAAGTGGGACACATTCTGCAACTTATAAATCAACCTATTTCATATTAATATATTAAAAAGGATACTTTGGGATTTTGGCAATGAGGCCCTTTATCTAATTCCACAGAGTCAGATGAACTCATGGATACCATTTTTATGTCTCTCTGTCCAGTATGAAGGAAGTTAGCATTGGCTTGTGAATTTACCTCTAACTAGCATTAGCGCAATGACTAACAGTCTATGGGTACAGCTAGTTAGCGTTGGCTCTCAAAAGTACCTCTAACTTCCTTCATACTGGACGCAGATAGCTAAAAATAGTATCCACGAGTTCATCTGACTCTGGGGTAGTAGATAAAGGGATTAATTGACAAAATCCTGAACTATCCCTTTAACCCAACACCTACCGACCTCATGAAGAGCTTTGGAACTCTTGATATAATGATTAAGGTGTTGGCTTGACAGTCGCTGGAACTGGGTTTGAGTCCCGGTCCGGGCTACCCTGTGAATTTGCTACATTGGTGTCAGAAATGGGATGTGGCCCGTGAGGTCATCGGAGAGGGACTTGGTAAAGAGAAGTGTGGGGACACGCTCGCCTGAATTAAGGTGGTAATGTAGTGACCTTAACCCAACACCTACCGACCTCATCAAGAACTTCGGACCTCTTGGTGAAACGATTAAGGTGTTGGCTTGACAGTCGCTTGATCCAGGTTTGAGTACCGGTTGGGGCTATCCCCCAGATTCACTACCATAAAGAATATAAATCATATGTCTTTCCTTTGTACATGTATTGTTTTTTTGTTGTATTGTTTGTATATCGTATTTTAAATTTGTGTGACTGTCCTTGTCTATCAGTGAGTGTATAAGTGTTTTGTTACTTGTTATGACTTGTGTTTTGTTTGTGGGCCCCAGGAAGAGTAGCTGCTGCTAAACAAATAAACAAATGTGTATAAAATTGCAGAAGTCATTATCAGTATATAGGCTACTGTAAAATTGCAAACACATTACAAACATATTAAATCTTCTTTGCACTTGTTTTACTTTGTGATAATAAAAAATAAGTAGATGACGCTATGCCTGGTTATTCCAAGCAAAGTAAAAATATGTGTGTTCTTGTTCTTGTGCTGGCCTGTAAGTGCGCAATAGCTTTCCGGTAATCGATACAATGGATGGAGAAACGCGCATAAAGGTCCACTACAAATGCTATAATGCAATTAAAACAAGTAGACTATTATGCTAATAGGCCGCAGCAGTTTATATAGTAAGCGATTTTAAAAGTATTATTTTGTATTATTTTTTTGGCAAGCCTGGATGTAAACTTTTACTTTCACTTTTGATAGTCGAGTACTTACCGCTTTGGCTCTGGCAAATACATTCTAGTGAAAAATATAAAACAAAAACCATCAAATTAGGTCTATACATCTTGTTAATTAAACTACAGCCGTTTTCTTAAGCTATATCCCTATTTTTAAAAGTAAATGTCGATGGAAAGCTCCTTCACAAATGTCTGATGAGTTGCTGCTGCTTCTGCTTCCTCTTCTTCTTCTGTGGGTTTTATGGCGGAGTACTTTTTTTTTTTTTCATAGTCATTTAGCAGACGCTCTTATCTAGAGCGACTTACAGTTAGTGAGTGCATACATTTTCATACTGTCCCCCGTGGGAAACGAACCCACAACCCTGGCGTTGCAAGCGCCATGCTCTACCAACTGAGCTACAGGATTTTCTTTTGTTACATGGAATATTGGCAAAAGCCGTATCACCATCTCAAGCCCTAGAGACTGAGAAGGGAGATATGGAGAACTAAAAGAAGGAAGAAATGGGAGTTTTGTTTGTTTTGGCAATGTACTATTTTCATTAGGGTGGAGTAAGTTAGTATCACTATTAAGTATGGATTTTGTTTTGTTTTTTTGTTTTATATATATTTTGTGGTTTCAAACCGTCCAGTTGCTGCCACCAAAATCCATACTTAATAGTGATACTAACTTACTCCACCCTAATGAAAATAGTACATTGCCAAAACAAACAAAACTCAAATGTCTTCCTTTTTTTTTGTTCTCCATATCTCCCTTCTCAGTCTCTAGGGCCTGAGATGGTGATACGGCTTTTGCCAATATTCCATGTAACTCTTTTGCCGAGAAATCTTTCAGCCCCAGGAACCGTTCCGCCGCAACCACAATGATTTCAATCTTCCTAGATCTTTTCTCCACCTTGGCAGTGCCATTAATCACCATTGCGATAAAGGCCACAAAGTTCACCTTTTTAACCTTTAAAATGTCAGGATCATCTTGGTGAAAGGCAACCCCTGCAGCGTGCATTGAAGGCCTATCCACCACAATGGACTCTTCAGGAGCACCATTCAAACCCTCAACCCTTTTAACCGCTGCTGCATAGGAAATGCTCTGTACAACCCGAACTTTGGCCACCTCATTTTCTTTCACCCTTGTCGGGCATTCAAAAGACGTGGCTTCATGGTTCCCACCACAATTACAACATTTAACTTTTTTATCACTTTTGTAACACATTAAATGATATTTTCCACAACTTGGACATCTTGGTTTCTCCCTTCTGCAAACCCTTGACACATGACCAAAAGCTTTACAGTGATCACACTGAATTGGTCTTGGGATAAATGCTCTGACTTTGTAGTTTATATACCCCAACTGCACTTGAGTAGGGAGAGACTCCATATAAAAAAACAAAAGAACAGATAAACTCTTCACTTTTTCATCATTCACCTCTCGAGTCATCCGACGTGCATCAATCACTCCAGGAATAATTTTAGCCTAAAATGACATACCCAAATCTAACTGCCTGTAGCTCAGGACCTGAAGCAAGGATATGCATATTCTTGATATCATTTGAAGGAAACACTTTGAAGTTTGTGGAAATTTGAAATTAACGTAGGAGAATATAACACATTAGATGAAGTAAAAGATGATAGAAACAAAAAACGTGTTTTTTATTTATTTATTTTTTGCATCATCTTTGAAAAGGCCAGACAGTGATGTACGATTCTAGATGTAATTTAGATGTTGTCCACCAGATGGAAGCAGTTTGTGTGCAAAGTTTCAGAATGATCCAGAGAAGAATTACATCACTACACAATATTTTGTATCAAGTCTGCCAGGAGTTTTCCCAAATGTGCCGAATTGGTTTACAAGTACATAACTATAGAGAACATACAAAAATGCTATGGTAATACAACATTTAAGTTTGCACACTCCCAGGAATGTCATAAATTATGGCTCATTAGCTTCCCTACAGAAAAGACACTAACCTTCACACATCTAGATGGCCGAACAGGGTGGGTGTTGTTAAGTTGCGTCAATTCAAATCTGGTATTAGGAACAAAAGAGGTCAATACAACGTCTTCTAAAATAGACTAGTATTTTAATTCATGCAAAACCTTCAATGGTAAATATGATGTTCGTATATACGGGTCCACTGAAATACCACGCAGGGCAGACAGAGAACTAATCCATTGTTACAGATTCTTCTTCAAATACTCTGACAGAGATATTTCCCACTCCCTGCTGGCCAATCAGAGTAGAGACTGAGCGTGGTTTAGACTTACTCAGCCAATCCGTTGGCGCACCGGCTGGTCCCAGTCCCTTGGCGCTCCACTTGTTGCACACTGTTGCCAGGCTTAAGTTTTTATCATAACAACCTGTAGAGTCAGCACCCAAAAAAACACCATTCCACTGTACTGTGAGTACCTACGTTCAAGGACGGTTCACAGACAACGGTTCACAGACAACAAAGAGGCAGTGTTCGTATCTGTAAGAAATACAAGTCTTATCTGTTCTACCCCCTAACGTTCCTTTCATGAATCACAGCTTGTTATGTGAAACAATTTATATCAGTATAGTACAAACCTTCTATGCTTATCATTAATGCATTCCTTCTAAGCTATTCATCACATACGGATCCAATTATGAGAAAATAGAACCCCACTGTGTGGTGTCAGAGGTCAAACTGTAGAACCCAGTTCCTACATTTGAATATAAAAATTGATTTTTCAAACAAAACTACACTACATTTTTATCTCTGGGACCCTCAGGATGACAAATCAGATTAAGATTACTGAATGTAAGTACATTATTTACCTTCAGAGGTGAATGTACCAAACCAGTTGCCGTGATAAGTGTTTTGTTGTTGTGCATTACCCTCAAACAATAGCATGGTTTTTCTTCACTGTAATAGCTTTTGTAAATTGGACACTGCAGTTAGATTAACAAGATTGTAAGCTTTCTGCCCATACAAGACATGTCTATGTCCCGGAAAGTTGGCTGTTGCTTACAACACCATTCTAGTCATATATTGCATATTGAGCAACAACTGTCCCGTATGGGACACCGATCCTGTAGAGGTGAACAAACCTTACTCCGACAATATATAAAGGGACATTCTCCATACTGTACCCTACTTTGCTCCTTTTTCCATTCATTTGAACAATATTCCAATCCTCCTTGATTCTACCGCCATTAGATTCACAATCCACTTCATCGTCCGCCTCCGCCATCTTTTCAAATCTGTCATACCCTCGTGTCAGTTCAACGTTTTTTGCGACGGCCACCAACAGCACCGCCCAAATTGTCATGCAACGGACACACCGATTGTGTTTGGCTTTTTGGTACACAATAAATACATTAATTTCCAATAGAACACTGCGTCTACCTTGCAGCATTGCGTTGCGGAGACAGTTGCAGTGCGTTCTGTGTGGTGCATACCTTGGATTTATCGAACGTATGCGTCAAACCTTATGCGTAAATGGGTTGACAGAAATGGTAGCAGAAGGTGAATGTTGAACTTTTGTTGCACACATTTCTAGATGATGCTGCATACTATTTTGCGCAAAAACACAGTCGGTGTGTTCAAAAAGCGTTGCATTGCATTCTTTGCCATTTGAAGAGTATTTCTATCCAATGATTTTCAAGGGCTGAAATAAACCTAGCTGTTGTCAGGTAAAATAGAGCGTGGGAGGTTTCCGTGGCTGTAGCCTGTGGCGTCATAGTGAAGAAAAATATAGACAAGGCTAAGAAAATATCACAACATATTTTTACTTGAAATCAAATATTTAATAAAATCTCTACAATAAGTCAATTACAATAAAATGTGTTGTTACAACTCTATCATAGGTCTACACAATGGTAACACCTGACCTTATTCTCTTTATTATATTTGAGGTACTTAAACTTTTGAAACTGTTGTCACTGACAATTCATGTGTAGTGATTTTATTTATTGTTTATTTGCTTTACTTTAATGTTATTTTATGTTTCTTAGGAGAAAATATACTTGTAGTGATGTCCTATGTTCATTTGTTATTGTATTGCAATTTAAAATTAATTAAAAATTAAAAATTAAAAGGCAGATTTTTCACTGTAGATAGGAATGGATAACTTATTTCATGAACAACATGAAATAAACATTCACATACCCTCAATAATTGTATTATGTAACAATAATTATAATTTGTATTTTACATTGACAGACTTTTTCTGACCATTTGGTAAACTTTCTGTTTATAGGTTTGTAAGTCTCTTTTTCTCTGATGATACATATTTCATCATAATGTCATGACTGATTGCTCTGACATAGGTGTCAATCAGTACATCTCTACTGTCAACTCATCCCTCCCTTCATCATCAATTCATCCTCCAGCCCTCTACCTTACCCTTTTCCAAGTTCCCCACACTCCAGTAGTCCGAGTGCCTCCTCTTTTTCCCGACCCCTCCATCCGAGTGCCTCCCTTCTGTCTGTTGAAAGCCTGAAGCCCGCCGGCGATGTACGTGAGAGCCTTGTTCCTGTTTCCTCCCCCCTCTCCTTCCTCTTCTCCACCCTCTCGGTAGTGCAGAGTGTCCATAGGGTGGCCGGGGAAGGGACCCAGCGGCCTCCTCTCCAGATCCCCCCTCTGGCCCCTCATCATGCCCTTCTGTCCCCAGCTGTTCTCTGCCACCAGCTCCCTGAGCATGCCCAGAAGTGGGTCCTCTGGTCCCAGCTTCAGCAGCGGCCCCCAGGTGCTGCCTGGAGCTGGAGTAAGTCAGCCTCCCACTCAGGGTTCTCCAACGTGGGCAGGATGGAAAGGGGGAAGTGGGGGTCCCCGTGTGCCCCCGGGATGGGAACCAGCAGAGCCAGTGAGAAAAGAGTGAGCATCGGCTGAGAGGCACAGAGAAGGAACGAAGATAATCTCATCTATAGGTTGTTGGAAAGATAAAGTAGTTCTGAAATAAATCACAAAATGTAAAAAGATGGCTGTAGTTTAATTAGTAAGATGTATAGACATAATTTGATGGTTTTTGTTTTATGTTTTTCACTGGAATGTATTTGCCAGAGCCGAAGCGGTAAGTTGTGTACTCGAATATCAAAGTGAAAGTAAGAGTTTACAGCCAGGCGTGGCAAAATAATAATAAAAATGTATTTAAAATCTCTTACCATATATACTGCTGCGGACTATTAGCATAATAGTCGACTTGTTTTAATTGCATTATAGCATTTGTAGTCAACCTTTTTGCGCGTTCCTCCATCCATTGTATGGATTACTGGAAAGCTATTGCGCACTTACAGGCCAGGCACAGTGTAACAAGAACACACACATTTTTCTTTGCTTGGAATAACCAGGCATAGCATCATCAACTTATTTATTTAAATCACAAAGTAAAACATGTGCAAAGAAGATTTAATATGTTTGTAATGTGTTTGCAATTTTACAGTAGCCTATATACTGATAATGACTTCTGCAATTTTACACACGTTTGTTTATTTGTTTGGGGCCCACAAACAAAACACAAGTCATAACAAGTAACAAAACACATCATAAATTGCAAACCTATCCAGATATTTGGAAGCCCTGATTCTTATGGCCCTATTCAAGAATAAGAAAAAATGTACTGTGTGGGGCAACAAAGAAGATCAACTTCATAACACAGCATTCCTCCTTCCCACACAGAAATATGATTTTACCCTGAAATAGCACTAAGTGTGTTCGATAAGATAGGACATGATATCTAGCAGCACACAAAATGCATACCTAACATGAAGATTTCTGCAGGTGTTTACTTAGAACCATTTACTATGTAAGCACTGAATCATATGTAGCTGCTGTACATATTAGTACACAGAAATAAACTGAATATCAACGTCCACACCTAATACCAACCACATAAGCATTGATATATCCATTGGCTTACCTTGTAGAGTTTTCAGTGTTTCTGCCTAAAAGAGTTTATCAGCTGACAGCATCGTGTCCTCTGTCCCTAATTGGTTAATCGGGCCCTTGATGCACAAGTGTAACGCAACTCTGACATCTACATTCTTCTGGCTTGGAAACAGGTCTTACTTAATTGATGGACTCTAAAGTGCCCAATTATTGTGCTTGATTGTGAAGTGATTCATTAGGATTTGAAGAAACCTCGTCAAGGTCTCAGTCATTAAGGTCATCTCACGGGGAGGACACAGACACACCTGAAAGAATTCCATTGTCCAGTTCCTGACAAAATCCCAATCCTTATAGACATAATTCATAAATACTCCGGATCAGTCACTTTTCTCAATTGAACGATTCAAGTAAAAACATCATACAACCAGACTTCTATAATGATCATACAACATCAACAATGGCTGAAATGCCAACACGAAAGATAACTTCTCTTTTGCTTTCTGTTTGCCATGTATAAATCCTATTTTTATAATGGTAGTTGGATGTATTTGTTTATGTTTTCTTATCGGTATATTGGTATCCAAGTTCATGTCATTTTCTGGGTGTTTGGTGTGGTGTGGGGTCGAGAGAGTCAAAAAACACTAGATAGACTTAACAAAACCAATCACGTCCCCTCACACCTCACTCTAGCTCTCTACCTCCCCTCCTAACTCCCTCTCCTCCCTCCATCTCTCTCGCCCCTCTTTCTCTTCACTCTCTCTCCCAGCCATTCAGGTGAAGAAGCCGAATGAGGAGGTCCTAGGCTGGCATGGTTACACATGTACTGCGGTTGTGAGGTCGGTTGGACGTATTGCCAAATTCTCTAAAACGACGGAGGCAGCTTATGGTAGAGAAATTAACATTAAATTATCTGGCAACAGCTCTGGTGGACATTCCTGCAGTCAGCATGCCAACTGCACGCTCCCTCAAAACATGAGAAATCTTTAGCATTGTGTTGTGTGACAAAACTGCACATTTTAAAGTGGCCTTTTATTGTCCCCAGCACAAGGTGCACCTGTGTAATGATCATGCTGTTTAATCAGCTTCTTGATATGCCACACCTATCAGGTGGATGGATTATCTTGGCAAATGAGAAATGCTCACTAACAGGGATGTATACACATTTATGCACAACATTTCAGAGAAATAAGCTTTTTGTGTGCGTATGGACAATTTCTAGGATCTTTTATTTCATCTCCTGAAACATGTGACCAACACTTTACATGTTGCTTTTATATTTTTCTTCAGTAAATATAAACCCTGAATTGTTAATGCTATGTATTGGCCATTGAGAGGATTTGAAGCCACCGGTCAGACATATTGGCACTCCCCAATAGGAGCAGTCCTCCATAGGAATGAATGGAATTTCAATTAAAGGACACAATTAAATGTATTTAAGTAGTTGGGACAGTAACATTAGTCATTTAAAAAAAGTATACCTTAACGAAAATGTGTTTATATGTTCTTTAATTTCAAATGTTATGTTTAGCTCACATAATACATATAATTTAAAAGTATGCACTAAGGTGTCTGTAATAGAATAAATATGGCAAAAACGAATGTAGACATCAATAAATGCATTTCTATAGCTTCCTTCAAAAGCACCACAATTCTCTCGCCCTCCATTTGGCAAAACTGACCATAATTATATCCTCCTGATTCCTGCTTAGAGGAGTAAAAACTAAAGCAGGAAGTACCAGTGACTTGCTCAATATGGAAGTGGTCAGATTATGCCGATGCTACGCCACAGGACTGTTTTGCTAGCACAGACTGGAAAATGTTCTGGGATTCATCCAATGGCATTGAGGAGTATACCTACTCAGTCACCGGCTTCATCATTAAGTGCATCAACAACATCTTCCCGTACGTACATTTCCCAACCAGAAGCCATGGAATACAGGCAACATCCGCACCGAGCTAAAGGCTAGAGCTGCCGCTTTCAAGGAGCGGGACACTAATCCGGACCCTTATAAGCAATCCCGCTATGCCCTCAGATGAACCATCAAACAGGCAAAGCGTCAATACAGGACTAAGATTGAATCATACTACACCAGCCCTGACGCTCGTCGGATGTGGCAGGGTTTGAAAACGATTACGGACTGCAAAGGGGAACACAGCCGCGAGCTGCCCAGTGTCGCGAGCCTACCAGACGAGCTAAATGCCTTTTATGCTCGCTTCGAGGCAAGCAACACTGAAGCATGCATGAGAGCACCAACTTGATCCTGGACTTCCTGACAGGCCTCCCCAAGTGGTAAGGGTAGTCAACAACACATCTGCCTTGCTGATCCTCAACACTGGGGCCCCTCAGGGGTGCATGCTTAGTCCCCTACTGTACTCCCTGTTCACACACGACTGCGTGGCCAAGCACGATTCTAACACCATCATTAAGTTTGCTGATGACACAACAGTGGTAGGCCTGATCACCGACAACGATGAGACAGCCTATAGGGAGGAGGTCAGAGACCTGGCAGTGTTGTGCCAGGACAACAACCTCTCCCTCAATGTTAGCAAGACAATGGAGCTGATCGTGGACTATAGGAAAAGGAGGGCCGAACAGGCCCCCATTAACATCGACGGGGTTGAAGTGGAGCGGGTCGAGAGTTAAGTTCCTTGGTGTCCACATCACCAAAGAACTATCATGGTCCAAACACACCAAGACAGGTGTGAAGAGGGCACGACAACACCTTTTCCCCCTCAGGAGACAGAAAAGATTTGGCAATGGTCCCCAGATCCTCAA